TTCGCATTACTGAGTACTTTGATTGCTTGAACTCGAGGTTATAGTATGCAAATGCCCTTTTCCATGCTTCTTTATAAGGTGTTATGAAATTTGGATCATTGTTCCTGAGCTTGTCCCTGATTTCTAGAGAATCGTCCGCCATGATTTCTTTCATCTTAATGATTAGTTTCAATGTAGTGTCACGATCATCAAATATCGAGCGTTGTTGTTCCATAGCTGCGTCTCTGGGAATATAAAATCGTATAGTCGACGTTAATACAAGAAATATTTATTGAACAAAAACCTATTTCATGTAGCCATAGTGATCATGGTAATGTATATCGATTTTGATGATTGCTTACAACTTTGAATATTTGAAATCCTAGGCAACTAAGACCTACATACTAAATGTTTCGTCATGCATACATTATCTTTTTTTAATGGAAAGTCATTGCCATTGCCAAAACTCCAAATAACGTAACTACACTTAATGCATTAAAAAAATAATTTTTCTAATTTATCCATAACGTGGCAGTTTCTGTGCTCATGAATATTCATTCATTTCTCGGCCAATACATTCATCAAGAGACCTTATAAATATATATATAAAATTAGGGGGCAGGATTTAGAAAGGAAAAAGTAGATCGCCTTAGGTGATCAATACAAAAGGGGTGTATATCGAGTGTACTGCTTGTGTAAGCACTGACTGACCCGACCCTAGCCCTAATGTTCGAGATTTATTTTGGTGTTAACGATTATTGTTTTTTTTCTTTTTCAACCATTGAAAGTTGTTAAATTGCGAGAATAACTGTTTTGACAAATATTTTAGACTTATTTTGGTGTAAACAACTCTCGTTTAATTAATGTTCACCATTGTAAGTTATTAATTAAATTAATAGGATAAATATACCGGTATCATTGAATATTTTATTGTATTGTGTTTTTATAAAACATTAACTACTGAATTCCCATACACCATACAGGGTTTTTATCTGGGTCTTCTGTTTCATTCTTGTAACGATCTGCTGAACAAGCTGCGGTCTCGGTCAGTTATTTCTTTCATGACTTACTTTGTTATCGTTGCAACGAAGTGAGTGACCCCTGGTGTGACCCCGTGGACTATATGACCAGTTACGCATGCTAGGATTTATTACCGTTGCTATCACTATATTGTCACATGATTTGTTCCACCTTATAGCAGGTACCAAATCGTATATACCAAACAAACGACCGCAATCGAAGGTCATGTATGCTGTGACGTCATCAATCCGCGTGTAGGTACGTCTTCTGGACTTCATAGACTTAATGTACAATCGGTTAACGGCATGTCAATAGCTTTCCATTAAATGTTATTGTTGTAGTCCCGGACGTTAATGTTGTTTGTCAAATCCAGGGAAGCTAGATACCGACTATTGATGATGTTTAGCGGGTTTTCGCTGGGTGACCCAAAACGTTTTGAGGCTGAATTGCAATAAACAACATAGCCCTGAGTTGGCCTTCTTCCGCTACTGGGGTTGATTGGGGCCGAATGATCAGCGGAAGGAGGCTACAAAAACATTGGTGCTAGTAGAGAAGTATTGCTCACCTACGGTAAGTCGGAAACCTTCTAGTCTTTACTTGGCAATATAGCGAATATCACTCACATCCAATCGAATACAAACCTCAAGTTAACCACGGCCAGCACTTTAGCGGCTTCAAGACGCCAATGCAATACGCAATACCTACTCAGTACATTTGGTCGCATCTACCACCCGGTATTTCTGCTGTGTCACAAAGCACCAATTTGAGGTCACTCCTTATTTGCATCACAAAAACACTTCGCTTAGAGTTTAATGGCACGGAACAAGAAACACGTACACACTGATTCACAGTGATTTATTGATGAGTGTGTACTCAGGGACTGTCGTATAATAATGCTGGGTTTAAAATAAGTGATAATAACATTTGTACTGCTGAACAAAGTTATAACACACAATCATCTTTGTATCATAATCATGCATATTGGGTTACAAGTCAATTTGTTTTTGAGACTGGCGGCCATTTATGCTTGTGCCGATTCCAGACTAATACTACGTCTAATTCAGATTACAGTTTGCACACAAATACTTTCCCTGCGGATAATACTGCAATCGTTAAATCACAGTCTCTAAACGTGTCCGGAAAGCTTCGATTCTGTACAAGGCAGTTCACTGCATACACACTTGCAGCAACAAAAATCAAATTAGTTCAGTGCTTAAACTAAATTCAAGACGTTATTTCAGGATTAAAATAACTTTGCATTAAAGACATTTATGTCTTATATTATTATTATTATTAGATTATACCTTAGTGTGGGGGCGCTTTAACAAATAGCAGTTCTGGTTTGTTCAATTTGTTAGTGTTACAAGTGATTGCTTACGTTGCTGATACTCTGACTGATAAGAAGACGGCTTGGAAGAGCTCTTACAAATAAACACCGTCATAAATTGATTTTATAAGTTTACTAACCATCACTTGTTCGCTTAATATGTATGCGGCAATCGTGTGCAAAATCCATCACAGTGTTAAGTTACCAAAGTGTGCAATTAAAGAACACGACTGAAAATAAAAATAATTGGGTTAAATAATTACATAGAATAGACTGTTATCATGAACAATATTTCCCACAATCCGATCACAATGATTTATTGTCTGCATACACTAACCAACTGACAGCATGTAACACGTTTGTGTTGATGTTGCTACTTCTGTTGTATCCCTTCAGGTACACCTGTTTTTACTACAGTATTTATAAGGTGCACCAAACTGTCCCGATTACAACAATCGTTCCCATGAGTAACCATGTACGCAGAATAAATCGGTTAAATATAATGTTTAGTGATGATCTTCTATATTTACAAGTACGTACTATTTCATGTCACAATTGCTCACAAATCAAATTACGGAGCTTAGTTCTCAAGAATTCCCGGTTTAGGATTATATAATGTGTCCGCCAACACATAATGTTCTTATTGTTTATTGTGTTTCTTTCATGTATCCAATTAGTGGTGGCGCTCTTGGGCGCCTCGGTTTCTCGTCATTGGCCTTAGGAATATACATCAAAGAGGCATAATTGTCACAACTATATTTGTCATTGTCATTTTTCCCCAAAACAATACTGTCGTCAGTTTTGAACAATATAACCGATATACACCGATTATTCTAACAGCTGTTCATCAGGCATTCACATCAAATCACGGACTAGCTGTCAGGTGTAAATTACATGTATTTGTTTAATTTTCAGTCATGCTGTAGTGTGGGACCGTATTCAGTCGACAATAACTATTCCGTGTAACACAAATGTTGATATTATATAATAAAGACACGGCCATGGTAATATTAATATTATCATAGATTATTTGGTTATTTTGGTTATAAGCCGTGATTATATTATATAACTCATCATGACATTTGTAACTAGCCAAATAAAAAAACTTCATGTGGTACTATCATATTGATCACGTTTGTCGAATGGTGTCCAGTCTCAACGAACAAGTTACAAGGCGCTCTCTATCAGTTGTCAATGTTAGTCAAGGATTTGGCAATAGGATTTGGTGTTGAAATAATCAGTATATTTCGGTTAGTATACTTGCCTTCATATAAATCACTATGTATTATTACATATGTACTGCAGTTTATTTTGATTCGTCCCTGAAATCAAAATCGGTATTTCCACATCTCATATGCAAATGAGGTCTGAGAGCAAACAAAGTAGTCTCTTCAGGAGTACCGTTTTTCGAAACATAGCAGAAATAAACAATATTAAGAAGTAGGATATTTTTCTCTTGGGTACATGAATATACTTGCCGAGTGAAATGAAATTTGAACAGCAGTAATGATACCTTTAGCCAGTCACTTATTTTGACAAAAACTAATCACCCATGCTATAATGTTTTCGGTATTTTCACGGTCGATATGCAAATGAACATGGTATTTCCTTCGGCTACCGAACTATCTTTATTTTGTAAACACATTTTCGTCTGCTATTTTTGTCCGGTTCAAATCGTCAGGCAACATTTTTGGCATGTCAAGTGTACATCACATGGAATACTACGATTGGGAGAACTTAATGTATGTTGACCACCTGGAAACTGAGTTTTATAAACCTTGAAGGGCTTTCAGAAGATTCACCAGCAGTGAAATCAGCGATTACTATGCATCCGCAATCATCAGCATCGAGATACCATCGTAATTGTTTTATTATTTATTTATTATTTTTTTCGTAATAAATGTACATATCAGACTATGTTCTTTATGCTAAAATTCGCCGGAATGTCTATGTTATATGTTCAAATACTATTTATATAATATCATACTTAGTTTCAAGGAAGTTCTCTTTGACTTATATTGACTATTATAAACTCGAGTTTGGATCACTTGTTAGAAAACCATGAGACACTGAAAATATTCGGGCGCTGACCCGATTTGTTGAGTGTTTTACTTTTCAGCTGAGTGCGCCCTCAAGCTAGCGTATAACATTTGCTCCACGTAACGTTTTCTCATATAACGCCCTCACATTTTAGGGCATACTAGACAACCGTGAGTAGAGTAAACCACGGCATTAAGGCACTGCTTGCGCCAAAATGTTTGTATTGGTGGTTTAGTCAGTCAAAGAACTTGACAAAGAACTACCGTGGTACGGTATGTGAGACATCCTGGTTATTATACTTGACTATCATTTTCATCAATCAAAAAAAAAATTCTATTTTGTCTGGCTTCCAATTCTGTGTTTGTCCATTGAACAGTTGTTATTTATTTGAAGGAGGCAGTATTTAACATCGGTTGACATTTTTGTTACGTTGACTTGGGGGCAGTTCTACACACTTTCGGATGTCATGTATTACACGTCAGGTGACCAATTACATGACGTCATTCTTGTTTTCCATTGAAGTGACACAGAAACTGTTCAGTCATGAATTCCCGGAATGGTCTTCTCTTCTCTGTATACCGATGTCATTGGAAATGAATCATACAATTGAAACCTAACTCGGGTGTAACGTCTTGTCGATGGAAGCAGTCACACCAACATCAACAGAATCCTAGTCATTTCGATTTGGTTCTAGTGTACCATAAGCGTCATCGACATCTGCTGTTAAAATGAGCATTAGGGTGGACGCCGTTGCAAAACCGGAAGCGATGAATCATGACTCCTCTATCCTGGATTTAGCATTTGCCATGGATTGTACGGGAAGTATGGGAACGTATATATCCATGGCTCAACAGGTTAGGAATATATCATCTTCAATACATTCGCGAAGGTATACGTGTGTTCATTCGCGACAGACACTCAAAATAGCCGTCTCGTGATAAACAATCTTACATATTGTTGAACACTTCAGTTAATGCTGTAACCGTAAGACACTGGCATTTAATTTCATAATTTTGATGTTTTGAGCAATTTCACCTGGTTTGAATTTCCCGTACTTGAGTTCTATTGTTATTCTATATGTTCACGTGGATTTAATTTTGTGAATTTCACTTATCTGCGAAAATGCGAAATTAAAAACTCGTGATTATTTTAATGAGTTCATATACATCAGTAAGTGTCAATATAATTAATACGCGTGAGTTTAAATGAACATTACGCTGAAGTAGATAGAATTGTGTCCAAGGTGACTTCCAACCAGTGCCAAGTCATTACTTATGACACATAGGTTATCTTGAAGTATGTTACCATTAAAATATATACCATATTAATTCTGTTGTGTATTCATCGGATGTTAATTAATTGTCTTTTGTTCTGTAGAGTATCAATCACATCGTAGATGAAATTGTGTCCAAGGAGAGTTCCGATATACGTCTGGCCCTGGTTGAATACCGTGATCATCCACCAGAAGATAGGACATTTGTGACGAGAGTGAATGATTTTACTCCCTATGTTAGTACCATGAAATCCTGTTTAAACGCAGCCAGAGCCGATGGAGGTTTGTAATATATGTGGTGCACAGTATTTGTTATATTTTGGAAAAACGCAAGCTTGAACTCCCTTGTGTTTGATGACGACGTTCATGGGCTCTTATATATTTGACCATTGTTCTTTCCTAAAATGTTTTTATTCTAATAGGCGGTGATACACCAGAAGCGGTAGCTGATGCGTTGTATGATGTTTTAAATCTCAATTGGAGAAGTAGTGCCACAAAGATATGTGTATTTATTGCTGACGCCCCGCCACATGGGTTGTCTCGGGGAGGAGATAGATTTCCTGACGGTAACAGAGTGATTCTTGCATTATTATTATTATTATTATTATTATTATTATTATTATTATTATTATTATTATTATTATTATTATTATTATTATTATTATTATTTAGAAGGCAAGGTCCAGCGAGCGAGCGCAGCCGAGCAGTTTATTAACCCACTTAAAATGAAGCTGACGTAAGCATAGAACGTCGATGCGCGTGAAATCGAGGTTATAGTCCACACACGGGTTGACCGGGAGCGTCCTTGCCGAAGGTCGATGTCATTGCGCTCGCTATAATCTTTAAAATTGTTAATGTACTACTCGGTTGCACCATTATCAGCTTCAGCTCCAGACTATTATCACAATATATACCATAAAGTACTTCTGAGCCTTATTCGTTCTATAAATTGCTGTACATTTCCCAAATGTAGACACCAAGTGTTTGTTTATTTCTTAGGATGTCCTAGCGGACTTGATCCGATGAAGACTGCGAGACAATTGGCCGAACGCGATATTACCGTGTATATGGTGGGATGTGAACCCAGTATAACGCCGTACAAACATTTTTTCATGGCCGTTGCACACATGACGGGTGGTCAGTACGTGCCACTGACCGATGCATCTTCGCTCGCTAAAGTGATCATTGGAGGTGCCAGAGAAGAACTATCTTTACAAAGACTGAGATTGAAAGTCGATGAAGAAATTCGTAAAGAGGTTGAAACAAAGGGTGTTGTCGATGAAGACTCTGTGTCAAAACGAGTCATGAATAAGTTTCGTGACGAAGGTTTGCAATGTTTTGTCCCAATATAATTGACTGTGTTAAAATATTACAAATATCATGCAAAGTGATTGTTTTGAATAGATAGAAAAGTGAAAATTGTTGCCATGTAATCTGAAAGAGTACGTTCAATCGACTCTGACTCTGACATTCCGACGACAATGTTTCTGAGAATCTGACTGGACAATTGAATGATGAGACAGATTAATTTTAATGTATCAATCTGACTGTTTAGTTTCAAACAATATCATATAACATATATCCTTTTATGACTTACAGGCTACAAAACAAAACATATTACAATTAATAAACTCCAACTTAAAACATCAACTTCAGAAGCTGTGAAGTATTCAGAATGTTCATCAATGGCCGATGTGAAAAAGGATTTCGTGGAAGCGGGAACCACAGAGCGAAGGTAAAACAATTTGTATTTTTAATATATACAGGCGAATAAAAAAGTAGTAAGACAATGTACATAAAATTGAATAAAGATGCTGAAATCACTGGTGTTTATCGTCCCACTATACATAGTCAATGGTAGCCACCCCATTATCACATTTTTAAACTCTAATAACAAAATCAATATAGGGACAAAATGTTGCACTCTTGGCGCACAGCAAATGTGCCTCCGGAGACAAAAGCCTTCGCCAATGTTATCTAACAAAATAGAACAATTCACAAGAAACCCATACACTTGGATTTCGTAGCTGCTTGTGATTGAATACCATTGATGGAATTCTCATTGTCGTTTTGCTGTCTCGTATTATAGTACCGTACTATTGTTATTACCCCATACTTACTACCCTGTCATTACATTAACAATTCCGAAAAAACGCATAAATTGATTGATTGATTGATTGATTGATTGATTGATTGATTGACTGATTGATTGACTGATTGATTCAATGTAAGGAATATTTAGATTATAATAATTATTTACGGTATTGCAAGCCATTGTTATTCTGTACCGTACATACATTTTTTCAATAATTAGCATAACACTGGCATTTTTGATAAGAAACACACATGGGCTTGATCTCATATCAGTAACTTCGATCTATTAAAATAGCACAAATCTGTGTTAGTTTCGTACCTCCACGAAATACAGTAAAATATGCCTTGTTAATGAATAATAATCGTGGTAGTAACTAATATTGTGTACAAATATATTCACAGCACAAGTAGCTCTGGGGATGTCGTAGACGTCGAAGAAGATGATATCACTTTGGAACAAGCCAAACGACTCGTGAAACGTTCAGTCGCTACAAGAATGATTCTGAAGAAATGAACATAAGAATAATGTGTTGTGAAAAACTGGAAATATAGTAAATAGAAATGATGGTGTTAAAACAATGTTTACTTCTTCGTATATACTTTAGTACTACGCTGATTGAATCTTAAATGGCGCTAGTCGTCGCGCCACGCATGCGCGACATATATGGGTTTCATATAAACAAAGATGGCGACTTTGACTATTGCGTAGATTAATTAACGAGTATAAACAGAGACGTTACCAAGCCTTAATTAGGTATTTTTTAGGTGACTGGAAGGTATCGAAGAAGAAGTCACCGGTGTTAATTTGTGCAAGTCGCGCACGGGTCAAACCTCATACTTGTGATTTACATTAAAATAGCGCATTGGATTGTGGGAAAATCAATGTTTATCAACACAAATGTCGCACATGCACAACGCGACGACCGCCGACCTTTAATGTAGTAACACAATATTAGGCTAACCGTTTTGTGATCTCAAACAATTGCTAAAGCCTTCCCTATAGCACTCACGTGATTGCTTGAATATATCAGCAAATGCCGTATTATGTTCCCTCTGTGTTTCTAACTATGTTGCTGTGAAAGTATTACATTATTACATCCTTATCTTTATCGTTCTATAATAACATACCAGCGTTGTTGTGAAGACTTCGGGGGAGGGTGAAGTACGATGTATTTAAACGTACATGTGTGTTTACTGGTTAAAATGTTGCCAGGTTGTGCATTATGACGAACGTGTTATTATGAGATGATAATTTACTATATGGTGATTCAGGTCCCACAAAAAACAATCTGCAATTCGTCACACTCCATGCTATGTACATTGACAAAACGTGCCTCACACTAATCAATGACCCAGCGTAACATAAAATGAATCAAGGTGTCAGTATATTATTATAGTACTATAGTTAGTATACAGTTAGTTGCATATTTTCCATTATTCCATTTATTGTCGCTTATGAAAAAACTAATGAAATTATATTTAACATTATTTTGTCGCGTAGATTAAAATTGTACGATATCAATTTTCCATATTATCGGCATCAGCTGCGTGTATCGATATTTTTTCATATTCTATATTCATTTAATCGTAAAGAGAGTAATTTAGTTCAGTACTTCATTGATTAAAAGATTTTGAAAAAAAAAATGTATTTTGATTTATTTAAATGATCATGTATGCAACTTTCAGGTATCGCGTTATGAAATCGAGATAGAATGACACAATAGGATTGTAGACATTCATAATGCCTAATAAATTGAAAGATATGAGATAGGTATCTTGTATTCAGATGAGAATGACAAATATGAAGTGACGTAAAATTGAATAGATTACATGACATCTTAATATCCATAAGTTTACATCACATCTTGGTATCCATGTGGGGATTAATCACATATTGGCATTCATAAGTTGATTGACACATGTTTGTATCCATAAGTAGATTACGTCAAATCTTGCATATCCATTCGTAGTGGGAACCATGAGTAGATTACAAGACATCTTGGTTTCCATACTTAAATTACAATATATCTTGGTAGATTACACGATCAATTGTTATCCATACGTAGATTACAAGACGTCCTGGCGTTGATGCGTACATTACAAGACATCTTAGTATCAATACGTAATTTACAAGACATCTGCATCGATACGTATATTATAAGATATCATGGTATCCTTACATGGATTACAAGACATCCTGGCATCCATACATAGATTAAACCAAATTATTGCATCCATACGTAAATTACATCACATGTTGGTAGCCATTCGTAGCTTACAAGCGATATTGGCAATCGTACATAGATCCATGCACTGATTACAATACATCTTGGTATCCATACCTAAATTACAAGACATTTTGGTATCCATACGTAGATTAAAATACTTCATGGCATCCATACACAGATTACAAAACTTCTTAGTATCCTTACATAGATTTCAAGATATCTTGGTTTCCATACGTAGATTACAATCCATCCTGGCATCCATACGTAGATTATATGACATCTCGATATCCATACAAAGATTACATGACATATTGGTATCAATTCGAAATCATTATCCATACATAGATTACAAGATATCTCTGCATCCACACGTAAACTACAAGACATCTTGGTATCCTTACATAGGTTAGAAGACAACCTTGCATTGATTACAATACATCTTTGTATCTATACTTTAATTACAAGACATCTTAGTATTATTAAGTAAATTACAACATATCTTAATATCTATACGTAGATTACAACACATCTTGGCATCCTTACATAGATTACAAGAAATCGTAGTAACTAAACAGAAATTACAAGACATCTTAGTGTCAATACGTAAATTGCAAGACATATTAGTATCAACACGTAGGATTACATGACATCCTAGAATCCTTATGTAGATTACATGACATTACGAGACATTATAATATTCATACGTCAATTACGATACATCTTAGTATCGATACGTAGATGTCATGCCATCTTGGCATCCATCAGTAGATTACAAGACGTTTTACATAAATGCGTTACATGACTTAGTATAGTTAATCGCACGAGTTGGAGTGCGTTTATAACTATAAAG